GCCCATTTGTAGTCAATCCCCCATTCCCCACCTGCCAGCCCCTGGCAACCCTGATCTGTTCTCTCTGATCATGTGGTTTTTGCCTTTTCCTGAATGTCAATGAAATATACAACATATAGATTTTTGAGTTCAGCTTTTTCACTTACTAAAGTGCTTTTGAGATTTGTCCATGCCATTGTTTGTATCAGCAGTTCATCCATCTTATTGATGAGAAGTATTCCATTGTAGGGACACACCACAACTCATAGACTCTATCTTCCACCATTAAGTATGATGGTAGCCATAGGGTTTTTGTAGATGTCTATCATCAGATTGAGAAAGCTCTAGTTTGCTGAGTTTTTATCATAAATGGATGTTCAATGTTATCAAATGCTTTTCACGCAGCTATTAAGGAACACATTTTGGTCCGTCTGCCCTGAGAGTAACAGACTGCCACTGCAGAGACTTGAGGCTGTAGTCTACTGTCCAGGGAAAAAGGCAGGGTCTTGAGCCCCCTGTCCACTGATCACTTTGAACCCTGTGGGCAACTTGAGTTTCCCACCCTACCCCCAGCAGCTTAGAGCTTTTGATCCCTAACGGAGGAAAATCCAGGGAAGTCAATGGCATTTTGTGTCCCCAACATCCGCCAACTGCCTCCCTGTCTGGACCTCAGATGTGGGTTCAAGGGGGCCAGTCTCCTGCCCTCCCCCAGTACTTCTGGTGAGCACCTGGTGGAAGTCTGTGGACGACAATCTAGCTGAGACGGAACTCCTCTGATACCTCAGCTACCCCAGATCTACAGCTCACCCACATGTGAATTTTGGGCTACAATTTAGCTGATCTCCTCTCCCCACGTGGACAGTGGGGGAGTTTCTGCTCCCCAAGCTCTGTGGCAGTGGAGACAGTTGTGAAGCCCATCTCTCTGCAGAGGGGCTTGTCTCTCTTCTGAATGAGGCTGTGCCTCCCAACCTCGTTTCTCATGAGCTCAAGCAAAGTAATGACTTTGTAGTTCACGTCATTTTCTCAGTATTAGGACAGAAGAGACGTGCTTATTAGCAGCTTCCTATATTTTAAGCAGAGGTATAAGAACATTTCAATTCCACCTTCATCCTAAACCAAATGTATAATACTTAAGTCTGTTTGGGGGCCTATTTTTATTCTTACACAAGAACCATGCTGCTCTGACAATAAATCTTTCTAGCAATGTTTAAGTCACCTCCCAATCTTCTAAAAATTCCTCAGCTTTTTATTAAGCTTCCCAGGTGACCTTAGGATTATACTGTCTAGATAAAAAAAGAATACTTTTGACATTTTTATTAGAATTGAAATGGCAAATTACTGAGTTATGCCATCCAAGAATGTAGTATGCCCTACCATGTAAGTCTTCAAGTGTCCCAGGAAAGTTTTATGGTTTTGTTTATATGGGTCCTGCATACTTTTTATATGTCAAGTTTATTCCTAGATATTTTATTTAGTCTCTATTTTAATGGCTTTTAAAAATTATATATTCTGATGATTGCTAATTTAAAACATAAGCATTGACTTATACTGATTTTGCAACCAACTGACTTACTGAACTCTCCTTACTTCTAATAATTTTTCAGTTGATTTTCCTAGTTTCCCAGGGAGGCAGTTATATGCAAGTAATAACTCATCTCTTCTTTTCCAAAGATTTTGCTCTTATTTCATTTTGTCTTATAGCTTTTGACTAAACTGTTGGGAAATATTAAATAACCATGAATAGTCAGCACACTTGACTTGTCCCCCACTTTGGTGGGAAACTCCAGAGTTACCATTAAGTATGATGATACTTGAGGCAGATACAACAGATTTGCTTAGCCAACAGCTGCTCAAATTTCCTTCCAGCCAGTATTTGAAAAAGAAAAGAACAGCCCCTGACATTCAGAAGCTGGATAGGCACTTGACAGCTGGATAGGCACTTCTCCTGTTGAACAGAAACCATCTCACAGAATACCAACTCAGACAAGGTCATTCCAGGAGCACGATTAAATGAAATAAAATAAGTACACACCATAATTTCATCTAAGCATAGACAAAAACAAGGTCGTGGTGCCATCCACAAAATACAAAACACCTTCTCTTTGCTAAAATGAGTAACTGTTAATTCTTTATCAATTATTTACACCTATTTCCTCACCCACGTTTGCGCTCCCTATATGTAAAATTTATTGAGATAATCAATCATAGAATATCACCCACCAACACTGTCTGATGACATCGAATTAAGAGCAGACCCTACCTAGCAAGTCAACCAACCAAAGCCCAAATCCTATAAAATTACTCCACCAAAGCCCAAATCCTATTATCCTCTTGCTGAGGATTCCCCATCATTGCCATGGTGTGTTCTCCCTTGCTGCAAGAAGTAATAAACCCAACTTGTTCAACTCTGTGTTCATGGTGGTCTCTGGCTGCAGAACACTGACAAGTTTTAAGAGGCCAGAAAATTAGAAAGTATATTTCTAGACTACTTTACAGCTAAGTTTCAGTCTTATGCCACTTCTGCCAGTCACTGTTACCCACTCCTGATTCAGAAAATAAAGTGAAGAAAGTGCCTGCAGACCAGTGGAAAACATATCATATAGTCTGGGCCCACTTAGAAATTCTTTGAGCTAAGGTCCTTAATAATTCCCTTCTGCTTAGTCTAACAAGAAGTTGAAATGGGACACTTGCTGCACTAGTGTGGTGTCTTACACTGAGGCACTACTGTGATAGGTGTCGAGGTGCCAAAGTGATTGTGAGCGCATCACTTCTAACTCCCAGTCATTACTCAAGTTCATCATATGACCAATTCTAATCCAGAACCATACAGAGAAACAGAATGACCGAGCCTATTTCTTCACAGGATCCTTAATATTTTTTCTGTAAGGTTTTATGCCCTTGTATCATACATATATTTTCATTTTTTTTAATTAACGTATAGCTGATTTACAATGTTCTATCAGCTTCTGGTATACAGCGAAGTGTTTCAGATATATGTATATATATGTGTGTGTATACACACACACACACACACACACACACACACACACATATATATCCCTATACACACACATACCTTTTCATATTCTTCTCCATATGATTACAGGATATTGATTACAGTTTCCTGTGCTATACAGTAGGACTTTGTTTTTCACCTATTTTATGTAAGTTTGTATCTGCTAATCCAAAACTCCTAATTTATCCCTCCCCCAAGCCCTTTTTCCTTTGGTAACCATAAGTTTTGTTTTCTATGTCTGTGTGTCTGTTTCTGTTTTATACATCATTTGTGTTGCATTTTAGATTCCACATATAAGTGATATCATAGTATTTGTCTTTCTGACTCACTTGATAATGTGAAGGACAGTATGATAATCTCTAGGTTTATCCATACTGCTGCAAATGGCATTATTTCATTCTTTTTTATGACTGAGTAGTATTTGATTGTATATGTGTGCCACATCTTCTTTATCCATTCATTTATCAATGGACATTTAGGTTGCTTTCCTGTCTTGTCTATTAGTATCATTTGTATTTCTTCATTAAACTTACAAGATCTGTCCATATCCATTTTTCCCCTCAAAGAATTAAGCAGTGTTTTATTATCAAGGAGATTATGCTTAAATTTTCTTAAAAAGAACAAATTTCTGATTTTAGGGCAGTATGATTTTAAAAAGTGCTCTATGATTCTTATTTGAGAGAATGTGAGGACTTCTTTGTAAATCAAAATTAAAATTGTAGACTCAATTTAGAGTCTACAACTATAGAATTTAAAATTTGTAGAATCAATTTTACCAATCGTTACAGACATTTGAAAAGACTGGTATTGTCTTTACAGTACAAAGTTTGAAATATTTATTAGAGCTACTACTATGTAGCAAACTACCTCAAAGTCCAGTGGCTCAATAAGAACTTATTAACTTCTTCATGCATCTATAAAGTCAGTCTGTGCTGGTTTACCTGTTCTCACCTGTCATCAGTGCTCGTTGCATCGGCAGCTATGTGGATGCTGGCTAGGATCTTTCGTGTGTTTTGTGGCTGGCTGGCTGTAAACTGGGGCCCACATCTCTCTTCCACATGGTCTCTCATGCTTGAGCACATCAGCCTGGGCTTGTTTACATAGAGAAGCAGAGATCCAAGAAAGAATAAGGAAGCAAACAGAGACAAGGCTGGAAACCTGCAAGCTGTCACTTTTGCCACATGCTATTAGAAAGTCAGCCCAAATTCAAGAGGTCAAAAGAGACTCCACTTTGCAATAAGAGGAACTGCAAAGTCACACTGTAAAGAGCATGAATATAGGAAAAGAGTCACGAACTATGGCCAGATAGATAAAATGAACTTAAATCATTTAAATCAGATTTTCTTATGCTGGGGTCCACTATGGAAACTTGAAACTTTAAGATGACCTTCAGGAGGTTTAGAAATGGTTTCAAACTGACTGCAGAATGTGTTCCTCCAAATGTGCATTAAACAACCCTTTTAGGTTCATTTATGCCTTTCCTTAAATTCCACTTCATTTGATATTAATATTGCCATTCCTTACTTTCCAGAATAAAAATTTTATGAGTCTCCTTGGGCCGTTAAGTGAAAATAATTATTAATTCAGTCCCTACTGGATAAACATAAAAAAACATTTTACTTGAGTGCACAAGGATGATTCACTTACCAATATTTTCTCTTTAATCCAATCAATTTGTTGTTCCATAACAGATACATCCTAAGCTGTATACTAACGTAACTCACAGTAGGCTGGCTTGCTTAAGACTAAAGGCTAAAACCTATCTCATACAGAGATTGGACCCTAGACAGTTACATCAGGCAATGGCTGAGAAGAGGGGCCTATTCCTAGAAGTGTTAATAATGTCATCTATGTAATTTTGTCCTGCTTTAGAATCTTTCTGGAAGCTCACCCACTCCAAAACCTTTCCTGTTTTAAACCCACACACATGACTGAGCTCTTCTTAGTCAACTAAAATTGTTACTACAACCTCTGCATTAAAATGAAATCCATGGAAAAAATCCAATCATTTTCATCACTTGTGGAGAAACACATCCATTTTATTTTGTAATGTTCACAGTATACTCACTTCACATGTCCTTCCCCTCAGGGTTAGCTGGAGCCTCATTCACAGTTTGGTAACTCGGAGTCAGTTCCAGAGACAGTATACTCCCCTCTGCATCACACATCCTACATACTTCTCAACTTCTGGAAGGATGAAATGGTCCTAACGTTCATACAGTTGAAAACAACCCAAACTGGTCTGACAACATAACCCTTTAACTGATCCATATGACATTTTTCATTTTTACCTTTTCCCCTCACTATATATCTAAAAAAATTAATTTCCCCAAAACCCAAAGACAGTTTTCCAGGGTGCCCTGATGTCTACTCCCAAAGTCCCATTTCTCTGCTCTTGTAACATCAGCATAGTGAACGCGTGTAATTACTGACTTACTGAATTACTCTGCCTTTCCCAGTAGAGTGTGAGCTCCACAGCAGGGGTTGATTCCTTTTTCACTACCTGTATCCTCCCAGGCATATAATGGTTGCCCAATAAACTGAGCTTCTTCAAAAGCTTCTTCATCTGCTTACCTGGGTATGTTCATCACGTGATCATTTATTCAGCTAAACTTGCGATTGGTGCAATTCCTGAAAGTGCTGTTGTTGCTGTTGTTTAGACACTCAATCATGTGTGACTCTGTGACCCCAAGGACTGCAGCTCATCAGGCTCCTCTGTCCACAAGATTTCCCAAGCAAGAATACTGGAGTGGGTTGCCATTTCCTTCTCCAGAAGATCTTCACGACCCAGGGACTGAACCTAGATATCCTGCTTGGCAGATGGATTCTTTACCACTGAGTCACCTACAAAGCCCTCCTGAATGTGCTATACACTGACCAAAAAAAAGTTTAAATCTATCATAATTCTCTGGAGAAAAAAACAGGAAATTACAAGCATTCAGATATTGTTAAGAGAGAAGACATCAATTTCTGAACCATGGAGAGTTAATTTCAGCATGGAAACTAACCAGATGTACTTAGCAACAGTCACAATGGGAAACGTTCATTGAGATAATGTATACACCATGTTTAAAACAGTACCCAGTCCTGAAGGTTAGCAATTAGTACACTTTAACATACCAGAAGCAGTTCCAAATGAAGGTTGAATCTTAGATTACAAGCAAACGTTCTTCATTAGACTCCAAGATGTTTTGTTCTTACCTATTTCAAAACAGTTTCAACAGCCTGATGAAGGAGCATCCTCATTTATGCAATTTATAGTTACAGAGTCCACAACACCACCTGGAGTGTTTCAGTCACAACCAAGGAAGTAAAAACTCTTGAAATTAAAACTCATACAGAATCTGCCCCGAGAGAAAGCCTAGAGACCCTCTGGTCCAGGGATTCTTAGCCACACATCACTGGGGCATTCATTACCAGTGCAAACCCCTGGTCCCCCACACCAAACCCTGACTCATTAAGTTGGAGTGAAACCCAGGGATTTGGATCTTTTAACAAGCCCTTCAAGTGATTCTGAAGGTGTTCTTCAGACAACTCTGAGCCTCTTATCTTCTAGGTGAATTAAATGGAGGCCAGGCACGGAGGAGACCTGCCCAGAGTCTTCCTTCTGGTTAGTCATTATGCCAAGACTAGAACAAAAGTCGCCTTCTGCCACTCCAGTGTTATTTCCATGCTTCCATGCTATAATATCTTAGGACCCAGAATGAATCTGCCCTACACCTCAGTGGCTTATTCACTGAGTCCTCTGTCTTTTTTATCCATACATTAGGTTAACTGCAGAGGCCTAGAAATATTCCTGTATATTCATTAGTGAAGTCGCTCAGTCAGACTCTTTTCGACCCCTTGGACTATATCCCACCAGGCTCCTCCATCCATGGGATTTTCCAGGCAAGAATACTGGAGTGGGTTGCCATTTCCTGCTCCAGGAGATCTTCCCGACTCAGGGATTGAACTCGAGTCTCCCACATTGTAGGCAGATGCTTTACCATCTGAGCCACCAGGGAAGTCTATTCATTAGGTATGCATAAATAGATACTTAAACCTAGAGTTTAAATCGTAGTCCAATATTTACAAACTGTGTAACCCAGAGATAGTTATTTGTAAAATATAGCACAGAGCATGTCAAATAATGAGGTCCCAATAAATAGTAGCTATTATTAATGCCATCTTAAAACATGGCACTGAAGCTACATTCTTCATCTGACTTGAAGTGCAGTCCCCGAAAACAGAATCATCTGGAAGTGCTTATTTAAAACAGATTTCTAGTGAATCAGAATCTTTGGGGGAGGGGGGTGGAGAGGGACCCAGAAGGCTGCATTAATAAGCACCCCAGGTTCTTCCTCTGCATATAAACATTAGAGAAACACTGGACTAGGGCCGTGGACAGAGTGCCTCTTATCTAACAACAAGAACCAGGCAGTGCTGAATACTCTTAACAATTTCTGCTAACAAGAGGGAAGTGAGTGCCATCTACTGCCTTATTTTAGAATGCAAGGCTGATATTGGTTCTAATTGAATTCACTCTGAAAAAATGAATCAATCCTAAACAAGATAGCCAAGCAACAGAAAGCACTGTTGGAAGGAGACATAAAAACAGTTATTATTTTAGGAAAATAAACTTTATAAGTTAAATGATTTTTGTAGTTTTAGATTAATATATCTAATGAATTCCTATAATTTCAAGTTTTGGCTAAAATAGTAAAGGATAATATAAACCCTCACCCACTAGTCAATGCCAACAGTGAAAGGAAAAACTGAACCACAGAATGCTCTAAAATACTGCAGTGAAACAACATGCAGGCATGCCCCCCTCCACCACCCCTCCCTTAGTCTCAAGAGAAAAATCAAGTGAAATAATGACAAGTTTTCTTATCCTATAACTTTCTACTCAAGTCCAGTATCAAAACTACCAACTGCAGGGCACTAGCTACAAAGTTAACATTCCTTTCAAATGGTACTCAAAAAAAGCCTTCTGAATTATATAGTCTGTCACTATGTTTAAAGCTGATTTTCCCTTCCTAGTTGCAAAGACATAAAATATACCCAGAGGCTCACGAGAAATGGACAGAGCTTTATAAATATTCATATAAAACCAGCAGGGGTACTTCATATTTCAGTAATTCAATAACGATTCATAAAAAGCATTTGTCTTTAATTTTTGTTGGTTTTAAGAAACAAATGGTAAAATATATACACCATGGAGTCTGAATAGTCCCATCATAGAGCATGAATGATGGTCCGGTTGCGAAGCTCCTGGATATACTCTTTGGCGTGGGTTACTGCTGTCTTTGGTGCCTCAGGTGGAGGTGGAGGGCCTTCCACCAACTTCACAAAATAATGGCAAAAAACCTTCTCCATAATCCCAAAGCGACCTCTGCCGTGGTATCGGATGCGTTTCAGGTATTGGCCCCGCCCTGAGGTGGACTCAGCTAAACAGGGAAGAAAAAGAGAATTACACAAAACAACCATAACTGTATCTGCAAGATTACAGTTTGATCGGCTGAGCAATTTCTGTCTTCTCAGCTAAATTCTAAGATTACATGCGCTCACTGGCTGGCTAGAGTAGGCTTATCTAAAGACAAGTATCTCCTGAGTTCTTCCTTAGAGATCAGGCTCCGTCTCAGGTCCTGGAGAAGTAAGAGTGAATAAGACCAGCAAGGGCCCGGGCTCCATACAGTGGACACTCTAGAGAAGAATGACAGAAAACAAACACCATCATTTGAGTTAGTGACAAGTGCTATGAATAAAACAAACAGTGATGTGACAGAGACTGAGGGGGTGTTCTGGGGGCAACTTGAGACTGGGTGGTATCAAGAGGCATCGCTGAGGAAAAGACATTTGACCCAAGAGCAGAATGAATCATTCATGCAAATATCTAAGGGCAAGGTGTTCCAGGCTGAGGAAAAGCAAACGCAAAGCCCCAAAGGTAAGAACATCCTTGGCTTATCTCAGGCCCAGAACCTGCTACAGCACAGTAAGCAAGGTGAAGAGTGATACAAGTAAAGGGAAGAGATCAGAAATGAACATAAGACTACACAGAGCCCTGACGTTGTAGGAACAACATTCTTATTTTATTCTAACTATATGAGAAACCTCTGGAACCAATGGTTCCCAAATGCTATCCTCAGCCTACTACATCAAACAAACCTAGGGAACACATTTAAAATGCTGATGCTGATCTTCTAATTTATATCTGGAGTGGGCCTTGGAAATTATATCCTGAACAAACAACATCCCCCAATCCAGGCAACTCTGATTCAGAGTCAGGTTTAGGAACTCCTGCATCACATCTATCCCCTCATCTCCCTGCCCCTATTCTACATGTCAAGGTTTGACCTTGTAAAATTTGAAGAAATCTTTTAAATAGTACAAGATGCAATCTATTCACCTGTTCACCCATGGTAAATCATAGTAACTACCTTCTGAATTTAGACTTACATTTTTAGTTAATTTAATAAGCCTTTTAAAAAGGCAAAATCTACAGCACACATAGCAAATTAATTCACTTTCATACTCATCACTTTTATTCTTACTGTGACAGAACTTTGTATTACAGAGACCATGTCAAAGTATGTGCTCCACAAGCCTCTGACCACAAACCTCTCATGAAGTGATTTTAGCAGAACCATCCCAGCTTTGCCAAAGAGAAAGCTAAGGATGAAAGTGACTAAGAAAACTGCCTGGGGTTTCAGTGAGATAAGGTGAGAGGTAACTGCCTATTTATTAAATTCATCTACTGGGCACTAAAGAAATGAATTTAAGAATTTCCAAAGATAGGGGTAACGGGCAGGTGGGTGAAATGGATGAAGTGAGTCAAAAGGTACAAACTTTCAGTTATAAAATAAATAAGCCATGGGAATGTAATGTACAGCATGGTGACTGTAGTCAATAATACCCATACTGCATATTTGAAAGTTGAGAAGAGATATTACAAGATCTCGTCACAAGGGGAAAAAAAAACTGTAACAATGTATGGTGACAGACGCTAACTAGATTTGTTATGGTGATCACTTTGCAATACCGAATCATCCAGCTGTACACCTGGAACTAACATAACTCTGCATGTCAATTACACTTCAATAAAAAATGCTTTTTTAGTTTTTCCAAACAAAAACCAGTATTACACAAATCACTTTATAATATAAAGTACTTCCAGGTGCTTTGAATCCACTTGTCAGGAGGAATCCTAAAAATAAAACCACTGACACTGGGAAGAGTGTAGAAACTTCTGTAAAGATTTTACAAACATGATGGCTAATTTTATCCAAAACTACTACTCTACCCAATTTGAGCAACAATTTCCAAATGCTCTGAGAATAAGAACTGCTACACTCCAGGGAAAGAAGTATCAAAATTAGCTAACTGTGCAACACTACATAATCTATCAAAACACAATGATCAGTGCTATCAGGGTCTATGCTAACTACCATTTTCTTTCCATTTCTCCCAAAATACCTAAGAGCAAACATTCAGAACCTGCGAAATGCCAGCTATGATTTCCTCTTTAGGCCATAAAATAACATTTGCCTAACCTTCATGCATATAATGCCATCACTTTTTTATGTCAAAACAAAAACATTAATTCTTCTGAAACACCAGGGTTCTTTAACACCTTGGAATGGGAATATACAACACAACCACTCAGATCTAAACGAAATCAAGGTTTACAGTATAGATTCCAAATTAGTTTATGGTCTCCCCTCCTCCAGTCTCTC